GACCTCCAACGGTCATGTTGACACGACCGCCACCGTCACGATTGACAAAGACTCCTCTGAACTCCAGCCCACAAAATCCAACATTGGCGTGTTCACGAACCCGAAACATGACCTCTGGGTAGCCGAAACGTCGCCAACTCTTGCAGAAGTCAAAGATGGAAAAGACCTAAGAGAAGGAGAAGTCTACATCGGTATCAAGAGTACAGGGATCTGCGGCTCAGACGTACACTTCTGGCACGCAGGGTGTATTGGTCCTATGATTGTCACGGACGACCATATCCTGGGCCACGAATCTGCAGGCATAATATTATCCGTCCATCCCAGTGTCACAAGTTTGAAGCCAGGCGACAGAGTGGCGATAGAACCGAATGTTCCGTGTTTCAAATGCGAGCCGTGCTTAACAGGAAGATACAATGGGTGTGAGAGTGTTGAGTTTCTTTCCACGCCGCCCGTTGATGGGTTGTTGAGGCGATACGTCAAACACCCTGCGGTGTGGTGTCACAAGATCGGTAACATGAGTTACGAGAACGGAAGTCTATTAGAACCTCTCTCTGTAGCATTGGCAGGAATGGAACGCGCCGGTGTCAGGCTTGGAGACCCCGTGCTGGTATGTGGTGCTGGTCCAATTGGCCTGGTTACACTGTTATGCTGCGCAGCTGCTGGTGCATGTCCCCTCCTGATCACGGACATTGATGAGGGACGGTTGAAGTTCGCGAAATCCCTCGTTCCACGAGTCACCACGTTTCAGGTCCCCAAGGGCGCATCTGCGGAGGAATGCGCTAATCAAATCGTCTCGGCTATGGGTGGTATCCGACCTCGCGTCGCAATGGAATGCACGGGTGTCGAATCGAGCGTCAACTCGGCCATCTGGTCGGTCAAGTTTGGTGGCAAAGTCTTTGTGATTGGCGTGGGCAAGAACGAGATGACGATCCCCTTTATGAGGCTGTCCACGCAAGAGATCGACCTTCAATATCAGTACCGGTATAGTAACACGTGGCCGAAAGCGATCAGGCTGGTGGAGAGCGGTGTGATTTCTCTGGAGAAGCTGGTCACGCATCGGTTCAACATGAGCGATGCGGTGGCTGCATTTCAAACGGCGAGTGATCCAAAGAGCGGAGCCATCAAGGTCCAGATCAAGAACGACGACAGCTTATGATATGGCGTCTCTGAGTAAAGCGGAGCATCTAGGGGATTGCATGTGGGGGGGGGGGGGGGGCATCGTGGGACGCATCTAAGCATGTCATGTTTCCGGGATTGAATAGCTGGTAGATGGCGACGAGTTCTGTTTGATCGAGCACACATTTCTCCGTGATAAGAGTATAGCGCAGGAGCATTTACTCCAGTCTTCACTCCACGAGCGCTGTTGTATTCTATATACTGGAGATGCTGCGTGGTCCCTGGTTCGCAATCTCTTCCTTTCACCAATAAACCCCCTTCTCCCCTTGAAACCACCAGCTCTCGCGCTCGCCGATACTACTTCTGAATGATAAACTTGAGTTCCTCTCCTTTGATGAAACTCTCGACGGCGCGACAATGGTAGTCGTACCAACTATGCATGGTCTCCTCCTCGACGTAGCCCATGTGGGGGCTGAGGAGGACGCGACTCCGGCCGTCGCGGCCCCAGTAGTTGGGCCTCCGCCAGGGCGAGTCCTTGGGGAGGGGCTCGACCTCGAAGACGTCGAGGGCGACGCCGCGGACTGAGCCGGCCTCGAGGGCGGCGAGCAGGGCGGGCTCGTCGATCAGGGGCCCGCGCGACGTGTTGACCACAAAGGCCGACTTCTTCATGGCGGCGAGGTCGCCGGCGCCGACGATCCCACGGCTGCGCTCCGACAGCACGTAGTGCACGCTTAGCACGTCGGCCTGCTCAAACAGCTCCTTCTTCGACCCGGCCACCCGGAAACTGCCCTTGGGCAGGCCGCGCGACTGTGCCGCCTCGTCGGCCTTCTCCTGCGTCAGCGACGTCGACCACGCCAGCACCTTCATCCCGAAACCCAGCGTGCCCGTCACGGCGCATTGCGTGCCTAGCCGGCCGAGACCGAGCAGACCGAGCGTCTTGCCCGCCAGCCCGGCTGTCAGGTGCGTCTGCCAACCGCCGGACGCGGCGTTGGGGTCTGACGCCGAAGAATTCGAGCCTTGGACCAGCGTGTCGCCGTGCACGAGATCCTTTGCAAAGCCCAGGATCAACGCCCAGGTGACCTCGTTGGTGGCGTCATAGCCCTGGACGGCGTTGGGCTTCCCCATCGTGCCGGCGACGGTGATGCCCAGGTCCTTGCACGCGGCCAGGTCGATGGCCGCGTTCTTCATGCCCGTGGTGAGCAGCAGCTTCAGGTTCGGCAGCTTCTCGAGCACCGAGCGCGGGAACAGCGTGCGCTCGCGCATGCTCGAGATGATGGTGTACGGCTGCAGCCGCTCCACCAGCTTGGTGTGCTCCTCCGGGATGCGCGCGTTGAGCGTGGTCGGGAACGTGTCGATCTGCACCTGGCCCTGCAACGACTGGAAGTGCGGGAGGGAGATGGAAGCATAGTCGTCGAGGATGGCGAGTTTGAGTGGAGTGGAGGAAGACATGATTGATGATATTGAAGATGTCGACACCTGTCGCGATCCTATCCCTGGCACTACTGCTGATGCTGCTGATGCTGCTGCTCGAGTATTCGGACGGGACTGCGCGAGGATGTTGGCCGTAGAAGTCAATCGGTGGACCGCTCTGCTCATGAAACTCATATATGTATGTATAGATGAATTAGGACAAACAGACAGGCGACTCGGCAAACTCCACTTTCTCTCTCTGTCTCGCTTTCACTCTCGTTCAGATAAACAACCAAGCGAGAAAAGATGGGCAATCTCCAACAAGCTTTCTTATATGATACGGGCTACTTGCGTAGGATGTATGGCCTGTCGTGACCCGGGGTGAGGTCGGCCATTCCCCGCCTGAGGAGAGGGAAATCAGATGCCGATGTCGGTCGGCTTCCGTGCCTCATTCATCAAAAGCCTTGCGTGATTACAAGGGACCCAAAGGACAAATGCCGTGAGTGGTCCAGTAGGTGGTGAGCAGTTTGGAGAAATCGCACATGTACTTCTTTCGATTGGCTAAGGGGGAAAGAAGGGCTGAAAGCTGGATGAGAGGTTGGAGAGGGATTGTATGGTGATGTATGGATATCAGGATATCAGGGCTTGAACTGTACAACGGCTGGCTAGTAGAGCAAGCATTTCGCTTTGACAACTCTCGCTCGATATCATCTCCCCAAACATCCATCCATCCAGCTAGCTAGTCCAAACGTCAAATGCATAGACAGATAGATAGCCATCCTCACCTCTTACCCACATAGGTCAACGCCGCCACAACCAACGCATCAATCCCCACCGTCAACGTCGGCTGCACCACCGGCGCGAAGAAGGGGCTGTGGTTGACGGGGATCTTCTTCTCCTCGCCCTTTTTGACCATCTCGTCATACACGGCCGCGTCGTGCCCACCAAAGAACCAGAAGCAATACGGCTTCCCGATGCTGGAACCCAGGATCCCAAAGTCTTCACTTCCCAGCACGTTCTTGAGGTTCGGATCGTGGTTCTTCTCGCCAAAGTACGCGGTGAAGGACTTGTTGATCTCACCTACAACCTCGGCGTCGTTGACGGTCAGGGGGAACGACGAGGTCGGCTCGATCAGGGGCTCCTTGGGACAATCGCCCGCGAGACACTCGGCCTTGATGATCCTCTTGACCGAGTCCAGGATCTTTTGGCGCCACTCGACGCTCACGCTGCGGATGTTGATCTTCAGCACGGCCTCGTCCGAGATGACATTCTCCGTGCTGCCGGCCTGCAGGGCGCCCACCGTGACCACGGCCGTCTCGTCGGGAGGGACTTCGCGGGACCGAATCGTCTGTAAACGCACGACGATGTGCGAGGCAATGACCACAGGATCAATCGTGACATGCGGCATGCTGCCGTGCCCGCCACTGCCGTAGATTGTCACCTTGAAACTGTCCGCCGCAGACATGACTGGTCCCGCTCGCGTGGCTGTCTTTCCCGCCTGGAGAGGAAACACGTGTTGACCGAGGACAACGTCGGGAATGGGACAGGCGTGTTTGTCGGCAGCGTAGAGACCGTCATCCACCATGGCGCGGGCACCACTCCCTCTCTCTTCAGCGGGCTGGAACAGAAAGACTATAGTGCCTGACCACGTCGAGCGGGCGGCAATGAGTGTCTCTGCCGCGGCCAGTAGCGACGTGATGTGGAAGTCGTGTCCGCAGGCGTGCATCACGGGCTTGACGAGTCCGTCCGTGTCGCGCATCGTCTTGCTGCTGGCGTAGGGTAGCCCCGTCTTCTCCTGGATCGGAAGAGCATCGATGTCAGCCCGCAGGAGGATGGTCTTTCCAGGTCCATTCTTCAAGATGGCGACCTGGCCATGCCCGCCTATCCCCGTGCGTATGTCAAGGTCGTTTGAGAGTTTCTTCAGATGCGAAGTGATCAACGAAGCTGTTTCTTTCTCCTGCGTCGAGAGTTCTCCATTGGCATGGCAATGTTTGTAGAGCTCTTCGTACGGCGTCAGATTAGGGCGGTATTTCTCAATGACGGCAGCGAAGGAGGATTTCTCAATAGCTGATTCACCCATGATTGATCCTGTTTCAGGGTGTTAAGAAGGTTGGCTGGTCTAGTGATGACCGTAATGGTGAGTTTTATAGAGCAAACCAATTCAAGATCACAACCCATAAGAACACATCATGGCAAACTTGGAGGCACGCACCCAGGGCACCTCATTAGGCATGATTTATAGCATCAATTCTCCGCACTATTGTCGATCAAAGGAGAAGTCCGCCAGTCGCTCACGGCGTGCCAGCCTCGGTAGCTGCACCATTTGGCAAACCTCCATTCTATATATACAAGGCGACCAGTTGCTTCGAATTGCCTCAATGCCACCCCCGTCTGTCGTGGCCCTCCAGGTCCCCCACCCAAAGTCCTCATATAACCATATGGGCATCAATACCTCATCACTCGCCCATCAATATTCACGAAGCCCCCTCTTCAGCCTCAATTGCTCGAATAGTCTTTGTCCTGACTCTCTGTGTGCCACGAACACTTCTCACAACCCGGCTCTTGACACTAGATGCCTTCTCTCGCAGGCTTGATGATTGGCTGACGGGTGCTGAAGTGGTCTTTTTGGGGCTTGTCTTCGCAATCAGGGCTGTTGAAGAGGATGTGGACACAACCCTCGACTTCACAGACTTGCTCTTAGCGCTTGCAACAAGAGTCTTGAGTTTGGAGGGGCGTCTGGAAAGTCCTCCCACGACAGTCGCACTCGTCTTTCGCGTCACAGCTTTCTTGATGAGCTTCACCTTTCGCACCTTGACCGGGCTGCTGGACTGTGAACGACCTGAGACCTTCCGTGCCGGTGCCGCAGCAACCTTTGCCTTTTTCGCAATGCGGCTGGTGCTCTCCTCTATAGCCTCCGCGATCTTTCGTTTTGCACCTGCCAATTTGCTGCGGCCTTTGCTGGTTTCCTTCTCGGGGCTTTTGGGTTTCCGCTCCTCCTTGGATCTTGGTCCCAATACTCCGCGACACTTTTGAGATCCGCATCGGCATTCTTGAACATTCTTCTGAGAATAAGGATCGAAGTTGTAGTCGTAAGTGAGTTCCTCTCCAGTCATCACACCTCGGTCGCCTGCAAAGAGCGCCATTCGAGGCTTACCGTTGACCGTCCATTTTTCCATCCTGCAATTCGGCTCGCACGAATGGTTGACAAATCGTGCAATGGATCCTCGAGTGGCATCAATGATCATGTTCTGGTCAAAGAGCATCAAGTAATAGCACTGTCCTGAGTTAGTGGGATACGCAAGATTCTCCAGTGCTCGCCTCACCTCGTTGTTCTTGTACATCGTCTTCATGCGCCGTTCGCATTCCTCCTGAGTGATGATCTCTCCCGTATATTCCACGATGATTTGATGTGGTTCGAACGTGCGATTGCTTCGCACGCCATATCCCCTGTCCTCGGTCTTGATTACCTCCACACCGATATTGTACTTCCCCCCCTTCTTGACGCGTCGCTGGAGACTTTCAAAGGCACGGTTCCCACAGTCCTCTGCCTTTAGGTTGCAGTTCCTGGGATCACACTCGTAGTACATATATCGATTTATGCAGTCTTGGTCACATCCCGTCTCAGGCTTGCACACACAGCTCGAATGCTCCTCATACTTCGACACTCGCCACGTTTGTGCCGCATCGCCGACAACGACGTTTTTATTGACCTTTCTCCATTCGTCGGGCTTCGGCTGACCAGCAGGAACGGGAGAAAATATGTCAAAAGGGAGTTTGAAGTCTCGGCCATAGTTCAACAGACGCTCGCCGCCAAACATTGGCAGAGGCAGGACCGAGTTTTCCTTGACAGGTTCAGAAGGTGCCGCACTCTTGCGCCTGCTCTTGCTTGAAGCAGGACGCATCTCGGCAAACCTGGACTGACCGGCGTAGAGGCCCGAGGTAAGCCATTTTTTCTCCCGCCGACGAACGGGCGCTCTTGGTTGGGCAAGCTCTTGAACAGGGATATCACCCTCACTGATGCGCCTCTTCTTCGAGACCGGTTCTGAAGCAGTCGGTTCCACGCCTCCTAGGCTTTTTGATCGCGCTGCGTTGCGCGCGTCTGACGCTCTATCCTTCCTCTTCCCAAGCACGCTATTAGCGATACTCGATATGACCTCTCCAGCTTTATCCAGAATCGGCATTCTGGACGATCTTCTTGTGGCGAGTTTCTGAGCGGCCTGACGACGTTCCTCCCATATCTTATTGTTCTCGGCCATTTTGACCTTCTTCGCGGCCGCCTTCTCTGCTCGTAGACGTTGGTCCTCGGCATCCTCCGCCGCAGTTTCTGTTGATTCTCTGGGTTGGTATGCTTTACCGTCCTTCTCCCTCGATAGATCCTCCTTGCCTTGCTTTGTAAAGACTTCGTTCACACTCCACGGCAAGTCCAACGCGGCAATACTTTCCTTGACCAACGTTGACTGGCTCGCATTTTCCAAATTAACCAAAGTTTCACCACTGACGGTCCTCCCTTTGAGATCCTCATCTTCTGTGTCTCCCACGAGACCAGTGTGGCTTTGTGTCTTGGCCAGTCTGGAACTGACGCGTCGAACCCGGCCTTTCGGCACTTGTTTCATAGTCGCGACCTGGGCATCTTGAAGAGACACGTCAAAGGAGCTCTCGGACGGCGTAGGGAGTTGTTGCTGTCTGGAGGGTCTTGAAGTGAGTACCATGCTTTCCGGGTCGTTGTCAGAGGTTGTAGAGCTTGTGGAACGAGATAGGGGCGGCCGAGTGTTTGAGGACTCGATAACTTCAGTGTTCACATTCTGAGCTCGCGTCCGGTAGAAGCTAAGAAAGGTCTGACGGAAATGCATCTTGTAATCATGGGCTGGGCCGGCGGCAAGGTGAAGCAGAGTTGACGCGTCAACCCTTTCCAATCGAACCGTGTTGGTAAAGACTGTACAGTTTCTTGGATGAAGGAGTACAAAATGAGAGATACGCGTGCACAGAGGGAAGGGTTCGAGGGAGAAGTTCGAGGGGTGTAACAAACAAGAGGAGGCTGGACTCGGAACTAAATAGAGGGATAGCAGATTGGCAAGCCAATCTACCGTATCAATCGCCTAGGGGAGCAGGGGGACGAGACTCGACTTCTGGGCCAATCGCAGCCCTGCGACCAGCAGAGCGACCCGGGAGCATAACAACAACATTCCACAGCCACACAGCCTACATAACTCCTAGTACGAGTATGCACCTCCGAGTAGCACTACTGATCTGAATTGACTCCTTGATTGCCACATCTAGCTTTGAGTTGGCTTCGCTTGCAAAACATGTTTTGGTTCCATCTTCCCAGCCTGATATACATTCTGCGCCCCGGCAACAGCAAGGTCCCAATTATCAACTATTATACACGCCCTCATTTGGTTTCTTTCTTTGACAAATTCCTCCCTGCGGGCCCTTCAAAGGTCTTTTGCGAGCCCTGTACCGGTTTCATCTCCATTTCGCCATTCTGCACCCCATGGGCTTGCCGGTCTGCCCTGCGCACGCCAAATCGCTGATCGCCTTCTTCATATCGCTTTTTGAAATGGAGATAAGTTGGAGGTTTGGGTCGCGCCAATACCGAGATCCAATTCTTAATTAAATTCCCTTGTGTGAAAGGTCGATGTCTCTCGGCCTTGGGGAATCTTCGGGATGCGAGATATTCTCTCGTAGTCTCGCCTTTGCCGACCAGTAGTAGGTGGTACATCCACAATGCGAATGGATAAGCGAATCCCAACAATCCATATATAAACATGGCAAAAGGGACACGATTTCGGTCTATGGCTGTTCCGAAAGAAACGTGTCTTTGGTCTCGATAGGCAATCACATGGCCCAAGGACGCAAAGGCCAAATACAGGCCCAAAAAGGTCGCTGTGCTGACGAAGGTGAAAAAGTACCGATAGTTGCGTCGGCCCACGCAATTATTGAGCCAGACGCAGTGGTGGTCCAGGGTTTCGACACAATTATCGCAGACTCGGCAATGATAACATCGCGGCGGTCGCCAAATGTTGCAGGTCTTGCAATACTTGACTGGCACATCCATCGCTGCTGTTTGCGAGGTAGCCAGGCGTACCATGACCCAATCATTAGTGGGAGGTCCAAGAGCCAAGGGGTCTTGGTGATCGTCCGGGGGGAATGGATGGATATTTCGAGGAAAGACCTAATTACTGTTAGCCGGTAAGTTTGAAAGAGACAGTACGGCTGTATCCTTACCCCCGGATCAACAAGTGAGGCATGAAGAAAAGAAGATACACAAATGAAAAAGAGATAAGCAAATATTATAGGAATGGCGGGTGAGACATGATGCCACAACCACGAAGCCCTATGCGCTGGTCAGCTCTGTTGCCACCACCACGATGGAGATCCATCCACTCACGAATAAACAAAGAACAAGATCGCTGGTAGAACTAAGAGTATGCCCGTGGCGATATTGATGGGACGATCTCGAGCATTTTGAACACGCCCTCCCAGCCAAAAGATCGTATTACCCTCAAAATACTCATAATTCTTGCCCAGGGTACTCTTTACCGCGACCTCGGTATTAGTATCCGGTGGATATGCGGGAGATGTGGCATTCGAGGACAGATGCAGGTGTCCCGATTCCAAGCGGTGCTTGCTTGCTAGGCTCAATCCTGACCGGAAAGACAGCGGTGACTTCAGAGGCGGATCACCAGCCTTGAGAGTGGTCGCGATATTTAACCGAGATGGCCGACGCGGTTTCTGAGAGTTGACACCATTGACGAGCTGCGTGTCGCCGTCATTCTGAGATGCAAAATCGGGAGATGCGGCATCGGCGGTATCTGGCGCTTCCGATTGGGTATATTCCGTCGTGATGGAGGGAGCAGGACGATGGCTCCTAGGCATCGCATGGAACGGGCCTTGTCTGCTCGACGCAACACTTCGAGCATCTTCATCAACGTCACCATCTGGAATTGGCGCCGGCGGCTGCATTGTTCTAGCGCCGAGAGGCCTCCTCAGTCTTTGTGCTTGTAATCTTTGCGAGCTCATTGGCTTGAAGAAGCCTTGCGCCGTCAACGAGGGAACATGGGTGCGACTCCCCTGAGAGACAGGGCTCTGCGGCCGACTCGAGCCAGCGGTACTGGAGGGCGCGGCAGGAGTGGCCGCTGAGGGATTGCTCCTTATCGAGCGGTTTGTAGGTTGCGTGATACCTCTTAGATGCGCGTAACCATGTTGTGAAGAGGGGGGGTTGGGCAGCGCAGGAAGAGGGACACCTGACTGGGGTCTGGATCCGTACCCATCTTCAGAGATGGCAGAGGAGATTTCGCTTCGAGCGGTTGAGGGTCTGACAGCCATGGTCTCCTAAGAAACAAGAATCGCGTCACGAAAGTAATGTAGGGTGCATATCGAAAGTGTATGACAGGAGCAGGGAAGCACAGGGGTGACGTTGAGTCGCGGGGAGACGTGGAATCTGGTTCACAGCGTCAAGGTCGTAATAAGTCGCACTGGAGAAAGGCCTACTTTCTACCATCGACTATGTGCGGAGTGTCGGGGTTCTTGGAATGAGCGGATCGGCCATGGCGGTGCTGATGAGAGTGAAGGTGATGCGTACAAAGGGCCAGGCGATTGAAAGTGAGGCTGCTTGCTGCGAGGCACGAAGAACGAGAAAGCAAGAAACCGGATGCGCATTTCCGAAATTCGAATTCAGGGCTCAGGGGAAAGAAAGACGAGGGATGATGACACAATCTCGTGGTGAAGTCACGTGAACAGTCACATGTAGCACTAGTTCAAATGTGGCTCAGTCAATCAGACTGCGGAAGTTCAAGGTTGAACCTCGTGCCTCATCTGCAACTCACACCACTGACAAGCTTCCAATTCTCAACATCGAGCTACATCCACCACTCCTCTCTCAACCCCCTTGAAAATGGCTTTCGTGGCAACATTGGCTCGTCGGGCAGCTGCAAAAGCTGGTGAGGCCGGAAAAGACACAGTGTTGAAGAAGGGTGCCCGCCGGGATCCTGAGCTTTATGTACGGTTCCCGCACACTCCGTGTCTTCTGCTTCGAGCTGCTCATAACAAGGACTAGATTCTCCTAGGTGTCATGTCGGGTGCCTTTGGCCTCGCAGGATTCTACTTCGGTCGCAAGCCTACATCCGCCACCTCAGAAGCCGAAGTCTCGGTTGCTCAGAGCTCCATGCCGTGGCAGGTGGATCATGACCATGATGACCACTCCAAGCACTTCAAATATCAATATCATCCCAAGGGCGACAAGAACCAGACCCCCAGAAACGCCCCCAGCGCCTTGAATACGGTTATTGTGCCCAACGTGACTCTACCCAAGGTGCGTCGCATCCTTACCAACTGCGAATAGGTCTAACATGTCGCTTTAGGCCGTCCACGATGCATTCAACAAATGGGGAAAAGAAAACTACTAGGGAGTGGTCCTTGGTCCATCGCCTATTGATGTGTCTTGGAGTTTGCAAAATAGAAAAACAAACAGGTAACGAGGTCATCTATAGGATGCCGCTCAACAGTGTACATATTTTCAGGGAATGAAGCAGATCATCCATCATCATTGTTCGGGAAATTCTATGCTTTGCGCAATCGCAAAACTGTGTCTCATGCGGCATTCGAGAGCATATAACAATCCCATGTCCCTGACCGGAGAGGCCCGTTTTACCTTCTGCTTCACTAGGTCGATTCGTGGTTGGGGATCTCATTTCCTTGTTGCAGTGGAGGTATACGCGGATCTCTTCCATCCAAGCGCTTTGATAACTGCGGCTCCCTTCCACTTTATGACCATCTGATCGGCCCTGACATTTTCTGCAGTCCCACCACACTTGCTTGTTCATTGCAACGGCCATACCCTTTTTGACAACCACCGGACCACGAATAGTTCTCGCACCCTGTCGAGCCTAGAAAGTCCTACAATTTCCAGTCGGACAGGCATGCTAAAGTCCCGCCATTTTTTCTGACTATAGCTCATACGGCGGTCGCAGATTTCAATTAACAGAGCTCAGTGTGCACTGGCTTCAAAGTATGAGTTCCATCTTCTCGATATTTGAAACCTTCTCGTAGCTGACTACAAACACATTCGATTTTTGTTGAGATTCTAACGACTCTTGACAGGCTTTGACATGACTCACAGTCTTCCATATGCCACTACTAGTGAATTCACACTAATAGGCAGGCCACGCGCTAAGAAGACATCTGACGAATTCACTGGTGAAGAAGAATACTAAGAATACGGATTTGTTCACAAAGGTACACGACAGCTTCTAGCGATACCATACCCAAGATGAAGAGGCTTCCGAAGAATGATACGCAGTTGGAAGGCGAACGATATCAACACCACCCTGCCTACTTAGGTAGGATTTGGGAACGGCTGGCAGGAATTCTCCCAGCAAGGGCCGTCCAGCAGCAACCACCAAAAGCAAACGACCACATACAAATGCACACCAAAAGAAAAGGTAACCATTGCGATGTTTTTCAACAAATCCTCTACCAAAACCCTCACCCAGCCTCCAAGGTTTTTTCTCAACCCTTCACATGAACGAATACACTACGCGCAACAATAGAGACAGTCATTTAATCACCTTCTCGGAGAATCCATCAGGGCAAGGGACTGCTTTGATCGCGGATCAGCGTCGGTCGTCGAGCAGTCATACCCCAGGACTACACGTGCAAAAAGCTGCAGGTTGTCCTTTTCTTCTACCTTTCCTGCTAGTGATTCAATTCGGGCGATTGAGCTGGGATAGAGCCTGGATATGTTACTAGAAAACTGAAAAAAATTCAATTGATGGGCCGAAAAGCCAAGTAGAAGAGTAATGAATGAAAACAGTCAGACGGCGTTGGGTACTCTATGGATTTCTTCCAGAACAATACGTTTCTAGTAATATTCTCTGTTTAACACTATGACGCCATGTCATGCCACGGTAGCTTTTGGACAAATTATGCCTCCGCTCGACGGTACAGCAATGGAACGTTTGTCGGTGTTGACCACAGAAGACTCCTCTTGTGCTGGTACCCTTGTTCCCTCTGTGACTGGGTAATGGGAGATGCCGGTCTATGATATCCTAACACTCAAGATCGACTGTTCGTCAGCTCGCTCTGAGCGGTCGCGGTAGGTCCACTAGCAACTGGGCGTTGTTTCCCGGTGATCTTTTTCTCCCCCTCTGTAATATCGTGAAGTGTGTCATGATTGATAGGTTCATTGGCGTGCTTCTGAGCTCGAGCAGTCGGGCCGTCCCACACCGGGGTTTCGGAACCAGTAATATCTTTCTCAGCCGCAGTAATCTTGGAGATTGTGTTGCTGTCAAGTGTCCCGCTGGAGGGTTGTTCGGAAGAGACGGCGGAAGAGGTTTCATTGCGTTCCTGGGCCAGAATGCTTTGAGCTGTGGCGGTGGGACCGCCTTTTATCCGCTCACCACCAGTGATCCTCTTTTCCCCCTCAGTGATATCATGCAAGGGTTTGGGAGTTGATGGTCTCGCCAGCATGGGACTGAGCTTTGGCGGTAGGACCACCCTTGACCGCGGTGTCAGCGCCCGTAATCTCTTTCTCGGCCTCCGTGATGCGGGAGATGGTTTCTGCATTGAGGACTGGATTGGACATCTTGAGTGCCGTGGTGTGCAAAAGCTGCCTTTGTCGGCTGTGAGTCGTAAATGGGCCCAGTGAGGTCTGATGTGCCTTACAGAAGACGAATTTGGTAGACTGGTTGGTGAGTATTGGAATGGGAAAGGGTGCGAGGTGCGAGGAATATCTATAAGGCATAGTGATTGAGTGGCAATTTACTGACGAGGTAGGCCAGCACTTTCTACAAGAAAAATCAAGCAGAAGGGGCATCCCTGCATTGCTCATATATATAAACTCACAACTGTTGTTCCCTTCGTGGTTCACCTGGACTTTGTCTCAATACTTTACACCCGGCTTGCAGACAGTCATGAATTTTCGAGTGCGTCATTAGCCTGCACGCATGAGTAGGTAGCCTCGAGGGAGTGAGACGTTGCAGGATTGAGATCTATGGGTTGCAATAATGATGATGGCGACGATGATGAACTCGATGTCATCGACAAGTTGGGATTCCAGCCAATCGGGGTCATGCATGATCTGGACGACCTGCCTCGCTGATTTGGAGCTTGGGTGGTGCCACCGAAAATTAACCGAGATACTAAATGTTTGTGCTGTCAATGTCAATACTCAGAAGATTATACAGAAAGCTAAGAGTTCCCCGTCCGTCTGAAAGGCGAGATGAAGCTACTCAGATCAAGCAGACAGCACGATCTCGCTCTGCTGTCTTCCATACTCCGGATTTCAAACCCTGTCTGCGGCAGTTGTGCTCGTCTGCACGGCCAACATGATACTCCTGCTTCATCAGGTCTATCCTCACGCCGCCGGTTCTCAGTGCTCAACCGCCCTCCACCAAACTATCCAGGCCATGTCCCCCTTACCACCGTAGAGCGTGTTGGCCTAGCAATTGGAAGCGCAGTCACCTCGCTTGTTGATCCCTACAGACATGACATGGTCGCCGCATTGGGGGAAGCAACGGCCCAACCTTTCTTTATCTCATGGCTACGGAATCGCATGTTGTCGGATCCAACGGGAAGAAGAATACTACGGGATCGCCCTCGAATCACTTCCAAGACAATGTCTCTCGAAAGATTAAGACAACTGCCTGAAAACAGCGTGGGGAGAACATACGCTGCGTGGCTTGACCGGGAAGGTGTCACCCCAGATACGAGGGATGCGGTACGGTACATTGACGACGAAGAGGAGGCCTACGTCATGCAACGATACCGGGAATGTCACGATTTCTATCATGCTGTGACCGGACTGCCGGTATGGGTTGAGGGAGAGCTTGGTTTGAAGGCGTTTGAGTTTGCAAACACCGGACTACCCATGACAGGACTCAGTCTGGCTGCAATTATCCGGCTAAAACCACTGGAGAGGCAGAGGATGTTCCAGATATTCCTGCCATGGGCGTTCTCAAATGGATGGAAGAGCAAAGACCTCATCAACGTGTACTGGGAGGAGGAGCTTGAGACGGATGTTGGTGAACTGCGTCAGAGGCTCGGCATTGAACAGCCACCTGACCTGCGTGCGATTCGGAAGAAACTGAGAGAGGAACGCAGAGCCGCTAAGGCCTCAAGAGCACCCACGGCGGCAGCACCAACATCTCCTTCCCCTCCTCGACCAGAGGTGCCGTCATGATGCATAAAGCAATGTTCGTCGCGGGGTATCATACAAATGTGTCAAAACCTTTTCCCCCCTCCTGCAACTACACCTCCTTGAGGAGGTCGTCCAAATCATCGTCGTCCCATCCACCTCTCCGAACCACCTTCACGCTCTCCATGGTGTGGCCCGTTTGCTTCTCATGCTCAGAGAGGCTGGCCAGCATCTCTTTTAATTGATCTTCAGTAACCTTTTGTCGTAGTTGCCCTGACCGTGCGAGCATAATCAGCCTGTTCTCGACGTCTGTGGCGCGTGACTCTTTAACCATGCGGATTCTTCCCAGTCGGTCCGCGGCTTCTGGTTCGAGGATCTGGGACAACATGAGGGATCGGGCCTCCGATTCTTGTTTCCTATAACTATTTATCAGTACTTTGTCATTGCACAATAGGCAGAGGTGAAAGTTCATCCGGACCTTCTCTTCTCTTCCTCATCGCCGTTGTCACTTGACCCTCCTCTGCCTTGCTGTTGTTTGAGTTGCGCAAGACGCGCTGCTCTGATCTGTGCTTGTTAGCGAATCAATTGCATTGAACGACGCCTCGGGGAACATACCTGTGCTAAATCGTCGTCCGCCATCGGTGCAGAACATGCAAATGCATGAATAGAAGAAAGAAGACTTTCAGAAGAAAGTCGCAGAATGGCGAGCGGCGGGGCAGTATCTCCAGAGGGTTGCTAGAAGCGGCCTGCTCGTTAACTAACGAGCCATGCGAGCGTTTGTGGCGCCCACGCGCCACAAACACCCAAACCCGCCCAAATCCCTCCGCCTAATTATGACGCGGCACACCTACTCAGAGCTGTGGTGCTGTGCCATCCCGTTTCTTAACCCGGGCACTAACCGAGAGGGAGACGTCCCATCTCATCATCTGGCCGGTAGCAACCCTCGAGGACCTTCCGGGAGTTAAATAGTTCGGCTCCTACGTCGTCCACGAGCCATCCGAAGATCCATCCCAGATCACCTCGCTCTGGTCCGATCTCGCCTTTGGCTTGAGACACCTACTTTTCAGGTGTTGTAACTTTTCATCCAGTTGAACCACCAGCCGCATATCGCGTCAGCTCGCCTGCGCTGTGCTTCCATTGTCGTGCAGCTTGCTCAACGCATCCAGCGGCACTCAGCATGCCTTACACGACAGTTGCATGAACCAGATCACTCTCATTTCTCTTCCATAAAAGGAATATGAATGCTTGGGCACATCATGGCGCCTTCTTAGGAGCTGGTTTGCCAACCCATTCGCGCTCGATATCGTTGGGGCCACCCATGAGCACACCACCCAAACACGTTTCCAAAGCGCAGTCCGCTTCTAGTCTGCGAACAATGGCAACTGTCGAATCTTCTCCTCCCGAGCCACCGCAACCCCAGGGGGCCTCCCCAGACAACTCCTTCCGGACCATTGCGGACCCGAGGCATGCGAATACGTCGAACCTCTCTAGGTCCAACTCAACCCCCTCAAAACATCCCGATGTCAACGCCGAAGTGGCCGCACTAAGTGACAAACTCATCAGTGCGATCAACCATCAAACTACCCTGGACGATACCCTTGCCCAGACGAGACAAGAGTTGGAAGCCTCAAGAGCACGCATCGCGAAGTTGGAGGCAGAGGCCAAAGCATATGAAGAAAAGATCTCGCGGGGAGATTTACTGCCAAAGGAAAAGGTCGATGAACAGAAAGATAAGCTTACAGCGGAGTTGGTTGAGGAGAAGAAACAAAGGGCGCAGGTCCTTCAAGAAAAGCGAGGAATTGAGTCGGAGCTGGAAACTCTGACAGCCTCATTATTCGATGAAGCGAACAAGATGGTGGCTACCGCTAACCGAGATCGGGATGCTATTGAGAAGAAGAATCAGCAGCTTCGCGATCAGATTAAGGACGGCGAGGCTTTGATAGCCTCTCAGACGGAGCAACTGGCGGAGTTGAAAACTCTGATGCAGCAGATCGGTCCAGCTTCAGACTACAGAAGGGAACTTGATTCTCCACGGGTGTCAATCGCACCTTCAAGCCCCGGCGTCACGAGAGAAGGTGGTGATCTTGCCCGCCTCCTTGAAGCAATGAACCTATCTCCTGTCACTCTCGAGCACGGGGAACTCGCTCCGAGCCCTTCTACAACTCTGACACACCTCGTCAAACCACTATGTCGGACAGATATTCCAGCGTACGAGGACTTCAGGAATCTAGTACAAACGTCCCATTTCCGGTCGCACAATCCTTCCCATGCCCCGTCCAGAGCAGGTTCTGGGTCCTATGGCGGGTTAAATGTGGTAGGTCTTGGCTCACTGAGTAACCACTCGCAACCGAATTTGTCACAGATCTCTCAGCCAGCAACGTCGAAACTGGCCAATTCTCCGAATATTCCAGGATCATTTAGTCCCAATCCAGATGCCAAAGGACCTGTCCCGCTGAGAGAAACCCGCTTTTTCAAGCGCATCCTGGTCGAAGACATTGAGCCGACTCTTCGTCTTGACCTTTCACCGACCCTTTCTTGGTTGAATCGACGCAGCATTCTTGCCGCCATGGCCGATTCGACTTTGATTGTTGAGCCAATTCCCGAAGCATCCATCAAGCTCTACGGGAAATACACGCCTTGCGCGCTGTGTGGGGAGAATAGGAAACAAGGAGAAAACCCTCGAACCCACGCCATGCGTGTACGCGAGGGAGAAAGCGCTACCAGATGGTGCATTTGCACCCTATGCTTGGAAAAGGTGCGTGGCGTGGGTGATCTGGTCGCCTATGTACGCATGGTCCGGGAGGGAGTAGTCAAGGTTGGTGACAAGAAGGATGAGGAAGATGCATGGGAAGAATTGGTGCGGCTAAGAGAGCGCTTGTTCTGGGCAAGAATGGCGGGAGGTGTGGTGCCTGCATTCATCCCTACACCGAAACAAACCCCGATAGACGATGCAAGAATGGACGCGGAACTAGAAGGCCACACCCCAGATGGAAATGAGGAGAACGGTACTTCACTACAACACGCAACAACTATAGCGACGGATAGCTCTCAGCACTCAACACCGGGCACGGACGAAGTCGAGGCTGAATCTGCCGAGGAAAAAGCCGCACGCCTCCAACTTCAAGAAGGCTTGGACGAGAGTCTGACTACGTTTGACAACATCCGCGAAAACAAGCGAATAAGTATTGGCGGTCGTCAACACTCGACGACACCGCCCTCGACACCCTCGCCGCCTAAGAGCCTTCCAAAGAGGGAGTCTAGTACTGGCGGAGGGATTTCATTCCCAAAGATCAATATTCCCAGGCTGCCGCAGGGGTTCTGGGAAGCCCAAGTGAACACTCTACATTAAGTGCACGGTGACACAAAACGAACTGAGGGAGGGATATCTGGGTTGAGAGACGGCGACAATGTACATTATAATTTGATACAC